CAGGCTAATTTTTGTATTTTTAGTAGAGATGGGGTTTCGCCATGTTGGCCAGGCTGGTCTCAAACTTCAGGCCTCAAGTGATCTGTCTGCCTCGCCCTCCAAATTGCTGAGATTACAGGCGTGAGCCACTGTGCCTGGCCTTGAAATTGTTCAAATATCAAATGTAGGCCAGGAAAAGATGGCAAGAAATGTTCACCAAGAGATTAAAAAAAAAAAGTCATGGACAAAAAGGTTTAGGATCCTTGTGGTCAGAACCTGGTGCCCAATATGTGCAACTATTATGTACCCATAAAAACATTAAAAATGAAAAGAGCCTGGACATTAAGCATTGAAACATTAAAAATGAAAAGAGCCTGGACGTGGTGGCTCACGCCTGTAATCTCAGCAGTTTGGGAGGCTGAGATGGGTGGATTGCTTGAGCTGAGGAGTTCAAGACCCACCTGGGCAACATAGTGAAAGTCTGTCTCTACAAAAATTAGCTGAGCATGGTGGTGCACACCTGTAGTCCCAGCTACTTGAGGGGCTGAGGTGGGATGATAGCTTGAACCTGGGAGGTCAAGGCTGCAGTGAGCCGAGATTGTGGCACTGCACTTCAGCCTGGGTGACCAAGTGAAAAAAAAAAAAAGAGAGAGAAAAGAAAAGGGCTGGGCGCAGTGGCTCAAGCCTGTAATCCCAGCACTTTGGGAGGCCGAGATGGGCGGATCACGAGGTCAGGAGATTGAGACCATCCTGGCTAACACGGTGAAACCCCGTCTCTACTAAAAAAATACAAAAAACTAGCCGGGCGAGGTGGCGGGCGCCTGTAGTCCCAGCTACTCGGGAGGCTGAGGCAGGAGAATGGCGTAAACCCGGGAGGCGGAGCTTGCAGTGAGCCAAGATCCGGCCACTGCACTCCAGCCTGGGCGACAGAGTGAGACTCCGTCTCAAAAAAAAAAAAAGAAAAAAAAAGAAAAGAAAAGAAGGAGAGAGAGAAAAAAAAAGAAAATAAAGAAAATAAAAGAAGCTGGTGCCTAAGCCAGCTCACACTTAGCCCTAGTAAGCATCTGATTTAGAGATATTCCAATGCACAGCATCTGGTTTAAAATACTTCAACACCGACACACTACCTTAGGGCAGCTTACTTCTCCCCATATGGGGCAACCACGAGTGGTCCAGAGCTAACAGACAAAAGTCAGAGGCTGAGAGAAAAGAAAGAAGTTCCTTTCCCAGGACTTGCCCATTAAGAGAGAGTCACCAGTCCTGTCTGGTGAGAGAAATCAGGTCACCTCTAGAGCTGAGTGGAGTTATTTGCCCTGCCTAGAGTCCCTGGTTTGGAGCCTTGAAATCTGACACACCTCTAGGAAAGGAAGGGAGAAAACAGGGGACCCAGAAGGCATCAGAGTGGTCCTGCCGGCTTCCCCTGTAGAAGCAGGAATTCTGACAAAGCCCATCAGAGTGGTCCTGCCAGCTTCCTCTGTAGAAGCAGGAATTCTGACAAAGCTCTTCAGTTTTGAGTCCCATAGGTATAGCCAAGCTTGGACCCTGGGCTCAGCTGTATCTTGCCAGGTGGAAGAGTGACCACCTGATGTGAGGGCAGCATTATCAGGGGCTCAGCAGGCATGCAGGTCAGCTTTGGCAATAAGGCTGCTCCTCAGGACTGGGCCTGCCTCATTATGCTGCTTTGGGCATAAAAATGCTGGCCAAATCCTAGACTTACTGAAGCTGGAAGGATTCCTTAATAGCTGACATTTGAGGCTGGGTGAGGTGGCACAAGCCTGTAACCCTAGCACTTTGGGGCCAAGGCAGGAGGATCGCTTGAGCCCAGGAGTTTGAGACCAGCCTGGCCAACATGGTGAAACCTTGTCTCTACTAAAAATAAAACAAAAAATTAGCTGGGTGCAGTGGCAGGCACCTGTAGTCCCACCTACCAGGAGGCTGAGGTGGGAGGATTGCTTGAGACCAAAAGCTCGAGGTTGCCGTGAGCTGAGATTGCACCACTGTCAGCCTGGGGTGACAGAGCCAGACCCTGTCTCAAAAATAAAAAATAAAAAAAATAAAAAATAGGCCAGGCGGGGTGGCTCACGCCTGTAATCCCAGTACTTTGGGAGGCTGAGGTGGGTGGATCACGAGGTCAGGAGATCGAGACCAACCTGGCTAACACGGTGAAACCCCGTCTCTACTAAATATACAAAAAATTAGCCGGGCGTGGTGGCAGACGCCTGTAGTCCCAGCTACTCAGGAGGCTGAGGCAGGAGAATGGCATGAACCCGGGAGGCAGAGCTTGCAGCGAGCCGAGATCGCGCCACTGCACTCCAGCCTGGGTGACAGAGCGAGACAACGTCTCAAAAAATAAAATAAAATAATAAAAAATTAGCTGGGTGTGGTGGCAGTCCCCTGTAGTCCCAGCTACTAGGAGGCTGAGGCTGGAGGATCACTTAAGACCAGAAGCTCTAGCTGAGATCACGCCACTGTCGCACCCGGGTGAGGGAACCCGACCCTGTCTCAAGAAGAAAAAAAAAAAAAAATGGCCTGGAGTGGTGCTCACTCCTGTAATCCCAGCACTTTGGGAGGCCGAGACAGGCGGATCACCTGAGGTCAGGAGTTCGAGACCATCTGACTAACACGGTGAAACCCCGTCTGTACTAAAAATACAAAAAATTAGCCGGGCGTGGTGGCGGGCGCCTGTCGTCCCAGCTACTTGGGAGGCTGAGACAGGAGAACGGCGTGAGCCCAGGAGGCGGAGCTTGCAGTGAGCCGAGATCGTGCCACTGCACTCCAGCCTGGGCAACAGAGCAAGACTCTGTCTAAAAAAAAAAAAAAAAAGAAAAAGAAAAAAACTAAATTTGTTGAGCCTGTTCCTGTGGGTTACTTTACAGCAACTATAAAAGGAAGGTACTGCTTTTCAGTTCCCCTGTTTATAAATGAGGACACAAAGATAAGCAAGATTAAGAGCCTTGGTCAAGGCAGGCTGGGAGTCAAACCCAGGCCGTCTGAGTCCAAAACCGCAAATTTCTCTTTCTTTTTGGGGGGGTGGGGGTGGGGGGGGACAGAGTCTCACTCTGTTGCCCAGGCTGGACTGCAGGCACGATCTCGGCTCACTGCAAGCTCCGCCTCCCGGGTTCACGCCATTCTTCTGTCTCAGCCTCCCGAGTAGCTGGGACGATAGGCGCCCGCCACCACGCCCGGCGAATTTTTTGTATTTTTAGTAGAGACGGGGTTTCACTGTTTTAGCCTGGATGGTCTCGATCTCCTGACCTCGTGATCCGCCCACCTCCGCCTCCCAAAGTGCTGGGATTACAGGCGTGAGCCACTGCGCCAGGCCAAAACCGCAAATGTTCACTCTTGTGTTAGCCTTTAGTCCAAGTCCCTTATGATACAAGAGGGAAACTGAGGCCCAGGGATGTATAACGGCTTTTCCAAGGTCGCACAGCCAGCCAGCCAGGGACACAATCCAAGTCTCGGCGACAGGTCCAGGGCTGCCTGGACTCCGGAGTGTGGTGGGGGCATCTTGGCGGCCTTTTTCCAGCCGACCCCGCCGCCAGCCCGGCCCAGGCCCAGCCGGGTGAGCTGATGACTCAACGGGCGGGCACTGCATTTTGCTATCCTGCCTCGTCCCGCTGCTCTAGAGGGTTCCCAGCTCTCGGGCCAGACGGGTGACAACTTGTCTGAGTGAAACCGGGAAAGCGCCGCCCCTCGGCGCTCAGCAGGCGGCGGGGGCGCCGCTCAGTCAGTCAGCTAGTTGTGGCGTCCGCCAGGCCTGGCGGGCGGCGGGAAACTCGCCGCGCGCGGTCCGCCGCTCAGTTTCCCATTGGCTCGTCGGGCCCCCCGGGGTGGTACCCTGGGGCAGCTCCCTCCTGTGATTGGGTGGCAGAGCCTCGGGCCCCGCCTCCAGTCCTGGCTGTGAAGGCGAGACCGAGCAATGCGGCCGCAGGTTCCGGCGTGTTGCTGGCTGCAGAGAGCGGAGGCGGCGGGCTCGGTAGGCAACGCTCCCAGCGGCCATTCCCACCCAGCTCGTCCTTCCTCCCCACCAGCCCGTTTCCTTTTGTCTCCATTTCCGAACTCTTTGGGACGTGACCCTCTCCTAAGATCTGGGCTTTTATGGCGGCACTGTACCCCTGCCTCAAATCGTACTTCCCTCCGCTGAGATCTGAGCCCTTGATGAGACTGTGACCCGCCTGTAAATCGGGTGCTCAGTGCCGCTCACTACTGCAGCGCTGTCCTTAGATCTCATGCCGGAGACTTCACTATTTCCTGTCCCGCTCCACCTGAGCTCGTCAGCCTCCCGCGCTGCGGCTCCCACTCACCTCCCCTCGGCCCTGCAGAGGAGGCTCGGCGCCTCCTGTGGGTTCACCTGACCCTCCCGGTCCCATCCAGTTTGATGGGGCCGCCCTGATGGAGACAGCCGGACCCCGGCCTCACCTGGACTCAAAGTCTTGCGTGCAGGTCACTGAGCCACGCAGGGAGGTCAGGGCCCTAACTCAGAGGTCGAAAGTCAGGATCTCTAAATCAGATTCCAGTTCCACTCCCAACCCATCGCCAAGAACTGGAGAGAGACAGGAGGAGTGTCACAGGGGAACTTTATTGAGAGGAAACATGGTCACACCCAGCAGACATGCTTTCCTTCAATGTCGGTCTTGCACTGGCGCGCGCGCGCGCACACACACACACACCCATCTCCAGCCCCTGCCACTGTCCAGTTCTCAGCCACAAGGCGGGACATTCCTCAATTCCTACGACCAGAGGCAGCAGGGGCAGGAGTGAGGCAAGAGGGAGGGGAGAAGTAGCCTGGTCCTGGGGTCGGGAGGAAGCGGTGCGGAGAGCAGGGCTGGGGTCATGACCAGTGGTTAGGTGCGCTCAACAGCTGCAAGAAGAGTGGGATCCCCAGCCCCAGGTGGCCTCAGCTCTGCCAGTCCCTCTCCACGGAGCCGTTTGGAGTAAGAACAGCGCCTGGGGGAGAAGGGTGGGGCCTCCCACCCCATATTAGTCCTCTCGGCAGGGTGGGGGACTGAAGGGGGCAGGGCAGGGTGGGGCGGTGGTGGGCAACACTCAGCTCTGGGGCTCCTGGGGAGCCTCGCCCCCCTCTTCCCCGGCGTTGTCGGCCGTCCACAGCGTCAGGTTGTCTCGCAGCAGCTGCATGATGAGGGTGCTGTCTTTGTAGGAGTCCTCGCTGAGGGTGTGCAGATCAGCCATGGCCTCATCGAAAGTGGTCTTGGCCAGCGAGATGGCCTCCTCGGGGCTGTTGGCGATCTCGTAGTGGAAGACGGAAAAGTTCAGGGCCAGGCCCAGGCGGATGGGATTGGTGGGCGGCATCTCCTTCTTGCTGATGTCCATGGCCTCCTGGTAGGCTGACCGGGCTGAGTCGATGATGCGCTTCTTGTCGTCACCAGTGGCCACCTCGGCCAAGTAGCGGTAGTAGTCGCCCTTCATCTTCAGGTAGAAGACCCTGCTCTCCGCGTCCCCAGCCTCCTTGATGAGATGGCTGTCCAGCAGGCCCAGCACGGTGTCGCACACGCCCCGGAGCTCAGTCTCCACCTTCTCCCGGTACTCACGCACCTCGGGGCCCTTCTCCTCCGAGCCCTCCTCGTTGCTTTTCTGCTCAATACTGGACAGGACCCTCCAGGCAGCCCTCTGGCCGCCCACCACATTCTTGTAGGCTACTGAGAGCAGGTTTCGCTCTTCGCAGGAGAGCTCCTCACCTTTCTCCACGGCGCCCTTCATGAAGGCTGCCATGTCCTCATAACGTTCGGCCTGCTCTGCCAGCTTGGCCTTCTGGATCAGACTGGCTCTCTCCATGGCTCTGGGGACACACAGGCGGGCGGCGGGCTAACTGCTGCCTGGGACCAATGCCGGACTCTGTGCCTCTCCTGCTCTTGGCCTGCCTTTTGGCTGGGTGGCCAGGCCCAGAGAAGGGTGGGGAGGAGCAGGGGGCGGGACCAGGGCCCAAGACCTGCCTCCCTCTCCTCTCCTCCCCACACCCTTTCCGGCTCTGCAGTAAAGGTAAAAAGGCTGGGATGTGGGGGTGAGTCATCAGAACAGTCAGCAGAAGAAATCTGGGCGTGGGCCCCACCTGCACAGGCACCTTTCCAGGCTCTAGGCTGCCCCCTCTTGTTCGGGGCTGGCATCATATGGCTGCTCACATCAGGAAACTGCCTGGCTTCTCAAATCAGATCCTCCTTCACAGCGCCCTTACAGAGGCTAAGGGCGGCTTTAGCCCCTGGCTGCTTCTGCCTCGACAGAGCCCATAAAGGTTCAGGAGGATGGGGTTCCCAATCCTGCCAGGTAACTTCTCCCCTTGATTCAGGTGAGGATAACTCATGTTTAGGTAGGGCCATAGAGTTTCCCAAGCACTTTCATATTCACCATCGAATTTAATCCCCACTGTGTCTCTGTGACACACACAGGACCACAGAGATGGGAACACTAAGTCTCAGAGAGGGGTGAGATTTGCTCAAAGTCACATAGCCACCACTTCCCTGAAACTCCTTTCTGCACCCTGCTTCCTTTAGCTTTTCTCCCGTTGAAGTCTCTGACCTATGAGCTCCAGGCTGTGTTTGGAAGTGAGATCCAGGCTCTTTCTCAATCTGCCTGAAGATGGTTCCATCCCTCAGGCCTCACTCCCCCTCAGGGTCCCCTCTGAGCTCCCAGAATGCGCAGGTGGCAGCTTTCAGAGTGCCACTTAATGAAGTGTTTAACAAGCAGCCTCTGACGCTCCAGCCCAGCCTTTGTAATTAGTCACCCAGTAGGTTTGTTGGACACATTTCCCATCACTACACAATTTTCCCTTTCAAGTTGGTGGCCTGTTGCCACTTGTTTGAGGATTTACCCTCTGGCCCTCCACACCAGGTCACTTGCCCTCTCCAAGCCACATGCCATCAGGTACCAGTGGGGTTCACAGAGGGTGGGGTCCAGCTCCCCGGCTGTCCCACTTTCCTGCCTGACTCAGACTGCTCTCTGTCTGAGGCTGGGAAGCAGTCCAGTTTGATCCCCCAGGGGGGACGCTAGCAACCTGGGGAGAGAGAGGACTGAGAAAGGGAGGTGGCAGTGACACATACCATTCTGTTTTATGGGGCAGCAATCCCAGCTACGTGATGCCTCCCCCAGCCTGTCTCTCAGAAGTTTCCCTGTTCCTTCCTTTTTTTTTTTTTTTTAAATAGAGACAGGATCTCACTACATTGCCCAGGCAGGTCTCAAACTCCTGGGCTCAAGCAATTCTCCTGCCTCAGCCTCCCAAACTGCTGGGATTATGGGCATGAGCCACTTCCTTCCTTTTGACCATTACCCCACCTCTGACCCCTGGCAGAGTCCTCAGATGGAGACCTCTGTTGCCAACCTTCTTTCCCTGCTTGCTGGGGCCCTGGCCTCAAGTTTCATCAGGAGTTTCACCAAAGGGTGTTGGCATTGAGCCTACAGGGATGGATTCCTGCTTATCTGCCCCACCCCTAGCCAAAGCTTAGATGGGCCTCGGGTACGGCTCCTTTCACTGGGATTCTGCCCGCCTAATAGTTGAGCTAGGATAATTTCACAGGCCTGTGTCTCCCCCAGGTACCCTGAGTGTCTGAACACTCATCTTCCCTCCTAGAGGGAGGCTTAGGCCAGAACTCTGGGGACCAAAGATGAGATTCTTCTCTTTTGCCACAAGGAGGAGTAGGGACATGTCTGGACTAATGCTACAGGGTTTCCAAGGAAGTAAAGGGGATTTCAGGTTTGACAGCCCAAAGATTTTGCTCAATTCAGAGAACTGACGTAGAAAACGATAGGAACCACACGAAAATACCAGCTTATAGAGGGTATCTTGAGGTAGTGAGACTGACTGATTTTGCTTCCCCTTGATTTTCTTTTCTATTTTCTTTTTTTGGGATAGGGTCTCACTCTGTTGTCCAGGCTGAAGTACAGTGGTATGATCACAGCTCACTGCACTCTCAACTTCCTTGGCCTCAGGTGATCCTCCTGCCTCAGCCTCCTAAGAAGCTGGGACTACAGGTGCTCACCACAACGCCCAGCTAATTTTTGTATTTTTTGTAGAGACAGGGTCTCACCATGTTGCCCAGGCTGGTCTCAAACTCCTGGGTTCAAGCAATCCTCTTGCCTTGGCTTCCCAAAGTGCTGGGATTACAGGTGTGAGTCACTACACCTGGTCTTTTTGATTTTCTTATTCTCTCTAATTTATAAATAGTGAATATGGGTCGGGTGCGGTGCCTCACGCCTGTAATCCCAGCACTTTGGGAGGCTGAGGCAGGCGGATCACGAGGTCAGGAGATCAAGACCATCCTGGCTAACATGGTGAAATCCCATCTCTACTAAAAATACAAAAAATTAGCCAGGCGTGGTGGCGCACACCTGTAGTCCCAGCTACTTGGGAGGCTGAGGCAGGAGAATTGCTTGAACCCGGGAGGCAGAGGTTGCAGTGAGCCGAGATCACGCCACTGCACTCCAGCCTGCGTGACAGAGCGAGACTCCGTCTCAAAACAAAACGACGACAAAAAAGTGAATATGTATTGTTTGTCTATGAGATGCAGAATAGCCTAGTACCCTTGGAATCAGACTGCCTAAATGTAAATCTTATAGCTGTTTGTGGCCTTGGCCAAATGATTTAAGCTCTGTGAGCCTCAGTTCCTGTAAGTATAAAATGGGACTTGTGAGGATTACACGAGTTAATGGAAAGCACAGTAGAATGGATGGAAACTATTATTATTTTTTTCTTTTTTTCGAGATGGAGTTTCGGTCGTCACCCAGGCTGGAGTGTAGCGGCATAATCTCGGCTCACTGCAACCTCCATCTCCTGGGTTCAAGCGATTCTCCTGCCTCAGCCTCTCGAGTAACTGGGATTACAGGGGTGCACCACCATGCCTGGCTAGTGTGTGTGTGCATGTGTGTGTGTGTGTGTGTGTGTGTGTGTGTGTGTATATTTCTTTTTTTTTTTTAAGTAGAGATGTGGTTTCACCATGTTGGCCAGGCTGGTTTCGAACTCCTGACCTCAAGTGATCCACCCACCTCAGCCTTTCAAAGTGCTGAAATTACAGGCATAAGCCACCGTGCCTGGCCAGATGGCAACTATTATTGTCATGTGAAAAAATCCTATCAACTTTATTATGATCCACATATACTCACAAAGCACTAACATAGAGCTAGGTTCTGTGAAATGAGGAAGGACCCCAAGCCAGGACTTAGCCAAAGGCCAGACCTTCCCAGTTGGGTGTCTACAGGGGAGAGAAGGAGGCAGTTTGCCCATAGCCTTCTCTCTCCAGATGGATGAATGGCCAGTCGGCCAGATGTGCTCAGCACTGCCTCCTTCCTCTCCATCTGGGACAGGAGTGTCCAATCTTTTGGCTTCCCTGGGCCACATTGGAAGAAGAATCGTCTTGGGCCACACATAAAATACACCAACACTACCGACAGCTGATGAGCTAAAAAAAAAAAAAAAAGTGCAAAAAAATCTCATAATGTTTTAACAAAGTTTACTAATTTGTGTTGGGCTGCATTCAAAGCTGTCCTGGGCCACATGCAGCCTGCGGGCCGTGGGTTGGTCAAGCTTGATCAGGACATTCCTGTGACCTCAGCAGCTCCTGGAACCTCAGGGGCCTTCCTTTGTACTAGTCATCCAGTCGGGGCTTCCCCAAGTCCTGGGGGAAAGCTGGAGATCCCAGGACACTGGGAACCTGGAAGGCAGGGCCTGGCAGGCCCAGGAACTTTGGAGCTTGAGTCCAGGGAGGGACCATTTGCTTTCTGCCACTGAAGCCAGGGGACCTGGTGGTGGTTCACGCCCTCCGCATAGCCATGAGCAAGGGCAGGGAAGCCCCTTCATTCCTACTCCTCCCCTGCTGGAGCTCAGGGGTGCATCTGGGAGCCAGGCTGCCTGACACCTCCTGCCCGCTCTGGCCTGTTGATCCTGACTCAGTTCCTGTCTCAGGTACCTCCCTTTGCCTCCGGGCCTCCATTTCCCAAGTTCAGGAGCTCAGACGGGCAGGAGGCAGCAGGCCCTGGCAGGGCATGGAGCTCCACAGTCAGCTGTCTGAGTCAGCAAGACAGGAGCTGGGGTTGCAGCCCAAAGGGGCTATCCTCATCCTGCTTGCTACCTCCCCACCCTCCTGTACAGCATCCATTCTACCAGCAGGCTTAAGGGCTCTGGCCCCATAGTCAACCAATCCTTCTTAGCTGGTAATAATAGGCTTTGAAGGGTTGTGATGAAGGCAGCAACCATTTGCTGTCTACCTCCACTGAGGACAGAGGACAGGGCTCTGATAGCAATGGGAGGGATGCCAGGTAGATTCTAGAAAGAACTTCCTGAGAAATGTTTCCGTCTTGGAATGATCAAATTAAACAGGTTGCCAGAGGAAGCTCTAGCACCTTTTCCCACTGGCTAGTTGTGAACAAAAGTGCAGTTACCTAGCCAAGGGCTCACTTTACTAGTTGCCTTTGGGAAGGGATATTCAATTATATTTATTATCTTTACTGCTCCTTGTGGAGCAGGGCGACCCCATAGGCAGTGTGCCCAGAGTAGCCTACATTACTTTTAAGTAATTCGTGGTTCTTTTTCTCTTGAAGGCACTGCTGTTTAGAGTATCCCACATCTAAACCAGTCCAGTCTAGAGACAGTGCGGAATTTATGAAGAGAATGGAATGAGGTCAGAGTGTGGGACTGCATCCCAGCTCTGTTGTAAGGCCTTGGGCAGGTCCCTTCCTGCCTCTGGGCTTCAATTTCCCCATCAGTAAAACAAGGAGCCTGGCCCAGATCAACTCTAAGCCCTCTACTGGCTATGACATTCTCTAATTTTAGGGTTTCTCCAAGATCTCATCCTCCCACTGCTGTATTCATTCCTTAGGTAGTGCAGATGGCTCAGAGCTCGGGGCAGAGATCAGG